CCCAGTCTCAATTACCATCTCAGCGTGCCCCAGGGGCATGGCTGACACAGCATGCTGGAAATCAAACCCCATCCCTGCACCTGCCTAAGCAAGTGCTTTAGTCTGCTAAGCCATCTGGCAGGCCCCTTGTTATTATTGTCTTAAAGGAGAAAAAGTTGAGTGGAGGATTATTTTCAGGATGAGTCTGAAGCCAGGGTAATTTTCTTCATGTGGAAATAAAATTATATTGTTCATTTTTTAGCTATGTTAGGAACTCTAAGGAGGCACAACTTAGGCTAACAAGTCCGGGCTTCATTTTCCAATGGGAACAGTGGCCCGTACTGTGTCTCTCAGAGATGCATAAGCCCTTCTCACAGCTTACATTTTTATTTTCATCATTTGGCTGAATGTACACCACTGGAAGCTATGAATTACTCCTGCAGCGTTTTCCAGAATCCAGCTTATGGTATGACCTTAAAAATACCTCATCTGTATTGCATTCAGCATCCTTCAACATGGCCTCCTGTGACCACCCCATCTGGTAGATATGCCCATGGCTAATATCCTCCCCTTGATAGTGAGTGAACGTGTCATCACATTAGAGGTTAAATTATTTTTTAAAACTGTGGCTTCCATTCCACACTCTCTGACTCCTAGCTCTGTGGAAAACACACTTCCTATTCTAAGCAGTGTTACAGAGATGACTTGGGGAAGAAGTGAGGATCCAGCCAGCAGCTGGCAAGGCCCTGACTGGCCCCTCTCTGACAAGAGCCCTGAGGTACCTGACCGCCACTGTCTGAGGAACTCCAGCCAGAGACACCAAGCTGACCACACATGCCCAGGTGCCAGAACCACACAATCTATGAGACCAGATGTATTTGTTGTTTTATGCCATGAAGTTTTTGCTTCTTACACAGCAACAAATAACTAACACATGGCTGGATTCACTGAGAGAAGGCTTTGTCATGTTCAAGCTGAATATTATTATTCATGTCTCATTTTAATTATTAGGAAATAAGCACTGACAGTGTGAAAGAAAGTAAGTGTGTATAGGTTCTTATGAACTGAACGATGATGGTTTGGAAATGGAACCACATAGAATCAGGAAATGGAAGGAAAACAGAGGCATCTTCTCAGGTGAGAGTAAATAACAGGATTTCTTGAAGGCATGGACTAGAAAGGAAGAAACTAGAAGATAACAGGGATTTTATTATTTTTTCACCTCAAATCTCAGCTCAAAACAAAATGAATGTTCTTGAGAAAACACTTACAGCTGGAGGATGGGTGATAGTCCATGAAGGCCCGAAGGAATAAGACAGCTCCCTCGAAGGCAGAGCTTTGTTGAATAAATATAGTGACAGGGAGGGGAAGAAAAACCAGTAGAATCAAGAATAGCCTAACAACAATGCTGAGGCAGTTAGAAATGAAGTTTTAACGAACTATTTTATGTAGAGATAAATCTTAAGTGGACTCTGCCCAGAGAGACCAGTTAATAGGTGTTTTCCAAAAGCTCTGGTTTAAGTGATCATAGAAACGCCAGGCTGATAACCATCTGGTCCACAAGTGAGTCACAGCGGCCCCGTGTGAGTGGCGAATCGGTACATTCTGATTACTGGTCACCTAGACTGGCTGCTACGTGTCTCTGCCGTCACTCCTGTACATAGCAAACTTAACTGAGTTTGGGGGTTTTTCAGTCTTGTGTTGTTTGTGAGTCAAGCTGGACTGTGAGAGGAAGACGATGTCTTGTACCTCACTCATGCTGGAGTGGACGGCAGTGGGGGAGGTGCTCGGGAGCCTTGGGAGAAGCTTCCCGTGCTGTTCTGAAGCTTCAGCTTTGCTCCTTGATGTTACTGAGAGACACTGCACATTTAAGCAACACAACTGTGTTTTAGAGTAAAATGCAAAAATCACGTGAGTTTTAAGGAAGAATTTCTAGGAATTCTGTCTTTGGTAGGCCTCCTTACATCACCTAAACTTTCATTGACATGTATGCTACTGTAGGTATCTCAATAGAAAAGTATGCTGGGTGCAGTGGGGCACATCTGTAATCTCAGCACTTGGGAGGCTGAGGCAGGTGGACCTCCATGAGTTCGAGGCCAGCCTGAGCTACATAATGACTTCAAGGCCAGCCTGCACTGCACAGTGAGACCCTGTCTCAAAAGACAATAAAAAAAAAAAAAGTTGCGAGAGGCATGTCTTGAAGGTATTCATGATTCTGAGGTTCAAAGGTTACCTTTTTTGTCTCTTTGTTTTGCTGTCAAGCTCCAAAGTCAATCTATATGTTCTTTGTACTCTATAAAGACCCAGAAGAGCAAATTCTGAGTGAGAAAAATTCTTTAAGAATTTATTTCCAGTTACCTTTCTCTTCGGTCATTACCTTGAGTTCATAGCCACCTCAAAGGCTTTTTATTTCATGGCTTACTTCTATCAAAATGCACATCTTGCATGTCGTGTTCTAAGCAGTTACGCATTGAAAGCATCTTTAGATTCCCGCAGTGAAAGCACTGCTTCTATCATTTTTTTTGTTAACATTTCATATTATTTCAGGTTTTTCTGTCCTTTTTGAAAACCCATGTGTTTATCTGCTTTCCTTCTCAAAGAGCACTTTAGGAAGGGGCATATAATGATATTTTTCACAACAAATACTTTTCACTTGTAAATTAAGGGGTTCATATAAAAGTTAAATAGGAATCAGGATTATAAATGGCATCATTTCTTCTCTCTCTTTGAGTCAAATCGTCACAGATAAATCATTGATCACATTTGTTTGCAAATGTAAAGATTGTGTCTCTGGAGTGACACAAAACAAAAAAGGAAGTTGTAACTAATAGTCCCATAAGCCAAGAAGCAGATGAGAAGTGACCCAGGATCTTGTGACTGTTCTGTATCCACTCAGTACTCTCTCCTTGGACACATCAAAACCTCAGTTTCCTCATGAATAAGGAGGAGCAAGTCCCCTACAGTTTGAAGATCCTAAGCATACATGACTAAAGTAGATTTTATCTTCTAAAGTTTGCTTGATGAATTGGAAGTGCTCCCAGAAAAACTTGGTGGCAGACTTATAGTACGGAGAATGGAAGTAGTACGACACCACAGTTTTGCCCAACAGCTGTACTGTATGATATGAAGGCAGTTGTTGCTCATTTTGTAAGTGTGGACACTAATTGTGTTTAAATTTCTGCATTTTATGTTTCACTTCAAGGTCTGTGTGTGTGTGCGTGTGTGCGTGCATGTGTGTGTGTGTGTGTGTGTGTGTGTGTGTGTTCTGCTGGAGGTTGAAGGTAGGACCTGTGTATGGAGCCCAATCCCTTTTTAAAACTTTTTTTTTTATTTTGAGACAAGGTCTCACTAAACTGCCCAGACTGGGCTCAAGCATGTGATTTCCCTACCTCACCCTCCCGGAGTGCTGGGAACGTCAGCTTTTAAAAAAGATTAGTATCAAGACAAATCCTCTCTGATATTCAAGCATTGAGTGGTTTTAGATAGAAAGCTGATAATGTACAAATACTCCACTAGGCTCAAAGGAAGCAAATATGAAAACCCACGTCCTTCTCTGCCATCCGTGTGTTCACCAGGCTCCTGTCCCCAGCTGGGAGCCTAGAACGGCAATGTCCCAACTCAGATAGACTTCAGCGGCGCCTTCCTGGAGCACCCCAGGGAAGGGCCCTCTTCCTAGCTCCCGGCAGCCTGCTCCTGCAGGTGAGCCGGGGAACATCCAATGACGAAGCTTTTCATAAAGTTCTCACCCATAAATGTGTTATCAAATAGTATTTAATGGGATGTAAAGGGATGTGAGTGACAAACATTTTGAAAGGAAAACCACAAGGATGAGTGTGATAACGGTTTAATTTAGATCAATGTTGACCTCCCCTTGGTGAACATGTAAAGCTCTCCCAAAAGCCCAAGAGAGGCTTTTGAAGTGAATGTTTACCTCTGTAATAAGCCTGGTGTCCGGCCTTGCCTCAAGGCTCTGGGATGGCCAGGCCCCTGCCTCCCTGCTTGTGTGCCGAAGAGAGGGTGCCGTGCTCTGCTCCGTAACAGCAAAACAACTCTCCATGCTGCTGTTATTTGCACAGCAGATATTTCTGGAGCTTAGAAAATTACATTTGCATCATCTTTAAAATATGACCCTTTTCTACTTATGCATTCAGGTAGAGTCAGTGTTTAAAATCATGTGACTTCTTTTTATCTGGATTAATTTTACTTATATGATCTGATTGAGCTGGCAAGATTACTGCGGCAAAGTGTTTCTCGCATGTTTGCATGGCTCCCTGTGAGGATCTATTGTGAGCGGTGCACAGGCTGTGGCTCTGTGTGCCGGCCAGGTCTGCGGCCCAGTCACTGTGTTCTAGTCTTGATGTCGCTCACGGAGGGGAGGTCAGAACTGCAGCCGAGCCAGACGCTTTGTTGTTGCTTTAAAATTAAAAGCATATGAAACAGATACAGCTTATTATGGTTGTTGTTTTTATAAATAACATAAACTTAAATAACAAAACAGTAAAGTTCAAATACAACTTAAAATAGAGTTTAATGCTGTAACCACAGAGAAAAAGCATGATTATTTGTGAGAACATTATTAAAAGCCATATTCCAAAATATGAATTACACAAAAGATAGATTATGTTACTTAAAAAAAACTTAAAAGATTTCTGAATTTTACTTCTAGGAAGTATAAAATGTTACTTGTGGCAAGTGAGATGAAGTACAGTATTATCAGCATTACTGCTATTTTATTTACAAAATTTTTGAAAATACCCTCTAGAAATACCCTTTCGATTTGAGCAGCATTAGGAATTTTGTCCTTGTTAATGTATACCCTAAGCCTGAAATTTTGTGAAAACTACCTGTTTGATTTAATTAAATAGCAGAATTTTTGAGAACTTTTTCTGATTAGTGCCTAGGCTTCGGACCGTCTTCGTTTTTCCCTGGAGCGTGCCGGCGGGCACTGCTCGTCCTCCTGCCTCGCGTTGGCTTGTCAGCTGGCACTTCTTGCAGCAGCCTTTCGGCCTGGCATAGCTCATGTAATATCATCTGCATTATTGTCCTTATCATAGCAGCCATTTTATAAGCGGATAGGAATACTTAAATAATCATCAGATAATTGAATCTAACATACTCTAAGGGTAAATTAACTTAAGAGAAAAACATTACTATTACTAACACCACGATTGTACAAACAGTTTGACAATTTTTTACAACTTTTAGTTACTAAATCTGATTTTTGTGTATATTTTTCAAATCTTTCTTTAATGCAGTCTCTTAAAATAAACATAAATGCGCAAGTCCAGCTTGATCAGTTTTTCAGTAGTTTTCCAGCCTTTCTTGGTTACTAAAAAAAAAAAAAAAAAAAAAAAAAAGGAAGAAAAGAAGAAAAGAAAGAAAACAGTCCACTTAAAGAAATCTCCCTGCTGGAACTGGTTTCTTATATGCCATCTGTGATTAGGTTATTGCCATTGGAAGGAAGTGGGCCGTTTTCTGTTCTTTCTTCGTTTTCTTCCCTTTCACAGGAACCCCCCTGTGATTTAGGGCCACAAACATTTCTCCTCCGCTGTGTGTCCATTTAGCAGATGCATATGTGTTGTAGTGGTTTTCCAGAATTAATTCTTTGAAGTTGCAGTCTTCATTACATTCTTTCTGTTAAAACAACAAACAGCATGAGTTCCAGGGGCTCTCAATTAAACAGAACAAGCAGGTGATTTTTGGTGGAGTTGAAGCACAGATGACTTTTTTCAAGCCACAGATCAAGGGAACCTAGTGCAGTTTATCAGCTATACCTACACAGGCTTCTTTGTCCAAACAAGACATCTTAAATATAAAACAAAGCAAAAAAGATCATGTTTATGTAACATGATTTCAAAAACATCACTTTTAGCTGTCAGTTTCGACTGTTCTTTAGTTTTAGGACCACGTTCCCCCTAACTTCTCTGGTAGTTTTTCTGCCATCACAGCAGGTCACCCATTCACTAGCCCTGGAAATCTGGTGCAGGCCCTCTGCCGCCTCCAGGAGAGGGACCTATTTCAGAAACTTGTCTTCATTTGCTTCTGCCTTGCCTTCAACAGGAACAGATGGCTAAAAGTTATTCATTCATCTATGCAATTCCATGCCATTCATTCACTCATTCATTCAACCTATATTGCTACAGAATTTGTGCTAGGCATTGTGCTGAACAGAAAAGTAGAAGTTTATTTATTCATCTATTCAATTTAATTCATTCCACCTGTATTCTTCCATAAGCTCTTTGTGCCAGGCATTGTGCTGAGCTCCGCACAGGAAAGTCAGTTATGCTGTAGATAGTAGGATGACTGTTACATACCTCACACTGTAAGGAAGTGGAGCTAAGGCGAATGCTTACAGTTCCAAGACTGATGTTGGTAAATGAACTGAAGGCTCGGGGCGGGGGTGAGAATATTCATGTCAGCAATGTGTAAATTGAGTGAACTTTAACAAAAAGAGCTTTAATACTGACAGAAATTTTAGATATCAAGTATTAAAATGCACATGAAAGTTTGCAGCTAGAAGGATCCTTAGAGTTTAGTTGTCCCAGTTCACATCACAGAGAAGAAACCAAGGTCCAGACAGCTCTAGCAGTTTCCCTATGGTCATTCAGAAAACATTTATATTTCTTAGTGCTTTAATATGAAGTGATTCAATGAAAGTACCCAACATTAACATTAGAAATTAATTCCATTTTTTCCTTCAGAAAGGCAAGATGTTTTTAAGAAAAGTAAGTTTGAAAACTTAAGTCTAGGCTATGAATTATGAATACCTTTGCGTAGAGCTTTCCTTCCTTGTTCATTGCAAGGTAATATTCACTTTCCACCCCTTTGATTGCCACAATTCCAACTGCCACTGTCCTGATTTCCATAATATCTGCAAGGAATCACAGAAAGGTAGGCCAGTTACTCACATGGGGGTTGTCCAACAACAGCCGTTTGCTCTTACTTCTACTGTACCTGGAAGGTGTGCAGATTATCAAGATCCAGCTGAGGCCCCTTCCCTTAGCCCAGCATGGGGTGCTCATTACTGTTGGCGGGTGAGAGTGACGAGTTTTCATTGTGCAGAGAAGAGACCTGCACTCAGAGAAGAAGAGCTGCAGGTTCCTTCTGGAGAACTGCGTTTTGGGGACTACGACAGCAGTAACAGGAGTGTTTATCAGACTCACGTCACACGCCAAGGATCACTCCAGTACTCGTGTGTATTTTTGGAGTGGGGAAGGAGATGTTGGCCCAGTTTATTTCAAGTCAAATGACTTGAGAACTCTGAGAAACTAAAATACCAGTGTTTTGCAATTCCACTTTTATTTACTTTCTTTTTTTATTTTATGAAAAAATAAAATTTTGTGACAAAATAATAAAAGAATAGCAAAAGTTAAGACACTGTGTATCCTTATCTTCAAAATAGTTACTCAGAGATTTAAAAAAAGATTCTTACAGCAAATAAACAGATGATAGCACAAAACCTTCTTTTCAGTGAACTAAGAGAAACTAGGAGTACAAATAAAACTAATTAGATTAGGTACGAAGTTATTTTCGGCACAGCCGAACTGGTAATTTGTATATTAACTCGTTGCATATCATCACAGGTTACAAGGCAAGGACACATGTCATCCCCATAGCACAGATCAGAAAACTGAGGCACAGGGTAGTTAAGGAATTTGCCAAGTTCTTTTTACTGCTAAGTGACAGGACTGGAATTCGAACCCAGATACTTCGCTTCCCAATTGTTCTGTAATACTGTGTAAGTTATAATAAGCTAACATGTTGTACACTCCCAGTTGGTTAAACTTTATCTTAAAAATTATTGCTGATACAATAGTTCCTTAATATACTGAAAATGAATAAAGTTCCAATTAAAGTGATTATATATGGTAGTGAACAAAGCCTCCTGCCTTAAAGAAGAATATATTTAAAGCTCTTAATACATTAAAATAATATTTAAAGCAAAACTACGAGCCATTTGCATAAAATTTTATCATTTTATACTCTTCCAATTAATTTTTAAGTTTCTGAAATCTCAAAATTAAAATCTAACATTACTAATAAACAAATCCCTAAATATGTCTTAATTGAAAGTTTTTGGAGAATACAGGCCTTAAGAGCTATAGGAAACTGTAGCAATCCCAAACTCAGGCAAATCACGATCCTGACACCTTCGCAGAGCGTTCTTCAGATCTTGATGAGCTGGTTGTGTGCTGGGCTCCTCTCAGGCAAGTGCCCTGCTCCTCCTAAACTTGCCGATCTGATAACTACTGAGCTGATAACTAGCACTTCTTGTTGTTTTCTTTAAAGCAGGCAGAAAGGGAAATATGCCATACAGCAAAATCCCATTAGATCAAATCTGTAGCAATACAATGAGTAACCCTGAAGAAATTCGTTGATTCAATATAGCTCAGTACCACCAAAACTGAGTCAATCTATAAAACTCTTTAAGAAAGCATGACATGGTTGATCTCTAATAATCTTACTACTGTAAAATTTTATTGTCAACATTTTCCTTTCCTTCAAATCGCTTTATTCCTGTCATTCCTCCTTTAATCAATATTGTATTTTCTTATTTAGGTAGAAAGCAAAATGTTTATGCAGAAGCTTAGGGTGTCTTATGATCAGATCCAGAATATGAAATCTGTAATGTTTTCTGGCTTTTGTTTTACAGAACAATTGTCCACAAATACAGCTGTTGAATAAGAGCTTCTATTAACTGTAACCTCCGATCTCTTTCTCTCAGGCTCTTAGTCATAAGAATATGTTCATCTTGTGTTACCCAAAGAAACTTTTCCTCTATCCTTGGCCTATCCACCAACTGCTAATTCTTCATTCCACTTTGACATGAAAGAGGTGATAAATATTAATAATCTTATCCCGCTACTTTAGGGTAAAGGATACTAAAGACCTGTGTCATGATTCTACCTTTAACTGGGATGAGAATAGACCTGAAATGGCTAGGCTCTCGGGTTCCCAACAGCCTGTCTTGTGTTTTAGAAATTCTTTTGCACTGGAAATCAGCATATCTGCAAGTCGATTGCTTGCCAGAGCGTTAAGTAGTGGAAGGAATCAATACCCCATGAGCCCTGATTTTCTCTTCTGTTTAGCCCCATGTTCTGTGTCCATCTTTTTAAATAAGAAAAAGCTAGAGATGATGAATTTAATGTTACAAGCTTTTTGTTCAGGTGCAAAGTGGAAATTGATGTTCCTTTTGATATCCACGAGCATCTGTGGAGAGATTAACTATGTAAGCTGGTGGAGCCGGGGACTTGCCCAGGAGACACAATACTGGCATGTGCAACCTGCAGGTGCTAGGTTGCCTACAACATCAGTTAATTAAACTGTACTCGGTGCTGTCTCCTATAAGGCTAATATAAGGGCTCATCTTTTTTTTGTGGATTCCTATTTCTATTTAAAGGAAATGTCTTCCAATGAAGAGTATTCATAGGGGATTTATTGACTATGCCTTTAGTTAAGACATATGATGTAGATGCATCAAATTGTTCACATGACTGTGGCAACATTATCAGTAATAGGGGAAGGGAGAGAGAGGAAAGAGAGAGGCAGAAAAAGAGACACAGACAGATAGACCAAGATGGAGATGGACAGACAGAACAGTCCATACAACAGAAGGAAAGGGGACAATGAGTAAAGCAGTTAGCCTTGTCAACAACATTGTCAAAAACAGTGTAAATGCACTATTGAGGATATCACTCTTACAAACTATGGGGCCAGGGAGATAGCTCAGTGGAATAAGTGCTTCCCCGGCAAGCGCAAGGGCCTGAGTTCAATCCCTGGTTCCGGGAAAAAAAAAAAGTGCTTTGGGGCTGGGGAGATGGCTCAGTGGAATAAGCGCTTCCCTGGCAAACGCAAGGGCCTGAGTTCAATCCCCAGTTCAACAAAAAAAAAAAAAAAAAAAAAAACTAGATAATATACCCTATGTGGTCTCCCTGGTTATTTCCTGTGGTTCATGCATTCATTGATTTATCGAAGGCTTTTGGCATGTTTGTATAAGCCCATATCCCATCTGGGAGAAGCAATACAGAACCTTGGGATAAATTGCTATTACTGTCTTAAGAATTCTCCAACATCTATTTACAGAATTTTAAGTCTTCCCCTAAGCATGTACTTTGGAAACTGATGCTAATTTTGTTTTTATGACCAGTAGCTATATGATTTAAAAGTACTTTAACTTTCTTGTTTGAAAAATTTTAGTGCCTTGCTACACAGAAATCTACCTCCCTATTCGAGTGTATTGAACATTCTTTTCTCTGAAGTTTCAAGTTTTATATTAAAAGTTCAGGCAGAGCGTATATGTTCTAACATAGCTAAATACTGTTCTGAAATTGGAGAAAGGGGACACAGTTGTTTGAGGGTTAGACTAATTGGAACACTTAATTTGCACCAAGTATACTTTCTTGGTATATTGAAAATAAGAACTGATATCAACAAGGAAAAAGAAATTTTAATGTTAAATGGTATTCAGATTTTCTGTCAAGCCTGGATCATCAAATGGGAAGTCCTAATTGTCATAGATTTTATGTTACACTTAGGCTATAAATGTCATTCATCTTATATCAAAAACATATCCAGCATCTCCAAATCATACAAAAACCTCTTAAAAGACAATAAGAAAAAGAAAACAAAAATGGGGCAAAACATTTGAACAGATACCTTTACCAAAGAAGACAGGAAAATGGCAGACATATGAAAAGATGTTTAGTATATGTCCTTACAAAATTGCAAATTAAAATGATGGAATACCACTGTACAACTATGAGAATAAGTAAATTGGAAACACTGGCAGTACAGTATTATATGCTGACAAGGATGCAAAGCAATTCACATGCTGATTCATTGATAGTAAGAGTCTAAAAAAGAACCCCTTTGCTGTACAATATAGCATTCATGCCCCTAGATATTTACCCTATTCAGTGGAAATCCACTGTCTACTCAGAAATCTGAACATAAATGGTTTTATATCAGTGTTACTCATATCAACGAAAACTAGAGACAACCAAGATGTCCAAGTAAATGGATAAACAAATACAGGTGTATCATTTAGCATTTTAAAAATGAGCTCTCAGGCCACAGTAAAATATGGAGAAGGCTGAAATATGTATTGCTAGGTGAAAGAAGCCAGTCGGAAAAAGCTGTTTATGATGACTCCAGCCCTGTGACATTCTTGCTGAGGCTGCAGAGGAGTGGCTAGAGGGCTCAGGAGAAGAGACACAGAACAAAACAGTGAGTCACAGCCATTACTGAAACCCACGAAACGCTGGACCACCTTTGCACGTGTCACAACTCGCAGACCTGTACAAGGCAGGTTTAATGTAAACTATAAACTTTTGTTGCCAGTACAATGTTAGTTCATCAGCTGTAGTGGTATTTGCCACATTCATTCAGGAGGTTCCTAATAGAGACGCCATCAGGACACAGTAGGGCCAAAATGGGGATCAGCAATCAACGGTAGTCTTGAGAAACATCAATGCTAAGAATAACAGGACGGAAAATTAATTCCATAGGGGAACTCTACTACTTGCTCTGTTTCTCTGTAAATATAAAACTGTTCTAAAAAAGTCTATCTAGTTTTTAAAATACAGACTAGATTTTAATTAATATATAATATGATTGGTAATGCAGAATGTAATAATGATTATAATAATATGAAAAAGCTACGTGGATTTTTAATGACTTATTCTTATCCCAAATATGTAGGGCACATGGAACTTACTATTCATTACTATGAATAAAGTCTTTGGTAATGGATTAAGATATGTTTACCAAATGAATAACTTCCTTTTATGACATAAGGTTAGTTATGAGGAGTAAGTTATAATATAAACACACTTCGGAAAGTGCAAGAAATGCAGATACTTAGTCTACAGC